CGGGATGGAGAGGAGAAGCTTGGTTGTGCCGCAAGTTTTGAGGATGATTGTTCGTGGATAAACGAAGAGACTCGACTCGGAGAGGACGTAAGAATCGAAATCGGAGTTGGAGAGGTGAGAAACGATAGTGCAGCAAGCAGGTTCGAGGATTGAGTCGAGTTGAGACCGATTCAGAGCTCGGAGACCGAGTTCTTCCGGGTCCTGGAAAACGGACGGCTCCGAGAATGTGATTTCAAGGCGTTTTTCGAAGCCTTCGAAGCCGATTGGAGAAGGAGGCGGAATTTCCGGCGCCGGAGGCGCGGATGAGTCTGTGAGTTTGGTTAACACAGTCATGGTTGCAGAGTTAATCGAATGCCTCAAAATAGCACGAAAAATCAACAAAATCAAAATCGACAGAGAACTTTGGAAGGTTTCGGATCAAAGCGAAGAAGAAATTCCTAATTTATTATCACGAAACAAAGCAAATTCGAAAATCGGATGTTCTATTCTACAGATGGAGTCATTAAGGCCGGAAAAGGTATCAGGACGGCTTCCTCACGCACTGCAGAAGAATCAATCGACGAAAAAAGCAATTACCACACAAGAATCATTAAAGTAACACAATAACTCGGAAGTAGAAATCTAAGAACAATCTTACGTTGGAATACGCAGCAGATCGGAACTTCTCAATTCCACCGTGGGGACGAACGTCTTCAATAATGTAGCCAAGAGGAGCTTCGTATTGCTGTCGTTTACTACTATTGCTACTACCACTGCTAGATTTCTTCTTACCGCCTTTCGTCTCCATTACCACATCCACAATTCCTCTCTGCAACGAAACTAAAAAAACAGTGTTCGAGACGACCAAATTCAAATTCAAATTCAAACAAATTTCATCGCAATAACACAACGCAAATCAGATCAAAATTCTCAAAAACCAGCATACACATTAGCTCAGAGATACCTTGCCAAGAAGAAAGGATGAATTTAGAAACCTTAACAACCGGATATACTTACAAATAATCTTCGTCAATGGCGGAATAAATACAGAGAAAACCAAGAATTCCTCGGCAATTCCCCAAGAAAGAAATGAGAGGTAACCACTAGAAATTTGGGAGAGCGAATAAGGGTTTGCTCAAGAACGGTAGATGCAGATGAAACGGAGGATTTAGCTTGTGAGAATGAGAGGGAATCGGAGAGAGGCTATTTATAGGCGCGAAGATGAAGGCCGGGCGGGTGCCCCTAAAGCTTGCGTCAGCCGCAAAGAGTGGCGTTAGTGGAAAAAAAGAACGGAACGGAGTGCAGAGTACTGAGTTGGGGAGTGCCCGTATCCGCGAGTTTTGGGATAGCAATTTTCGTCGCACGTGGGTTGTCCACGTGGCAGTAAGGCGAGCGGTAGACCATGGCACGTCGAGTATTTACTTGGCCCAAAATAGAGTAGGAAAAAGGAATCAATCTAGAGTTTTTATTTTGCATATATACCCCTACTCAAATTTTATTTATCAGAATTACCCTGATAACATCATTGGTTTTATTTTTATTTTTTACATTTTAAATTTTTATTTTTATTATTTATTTTTTAAGCATATAACGCTACAAAATGATTTGACTATCGACCTATGAAGAAGATAATTGATATTTTTACAGGTTCAACTATACTCATGTCTGGTTTAAGAATATTTTTCAAATGATAAATAAATTAGATATTTAAAAATTAGACAAAATATATGATTTGATATTAAAAAAATTTCACTCTTTTTTATTCTTTGTAGTTTCTTTTGGATCATGCTGAGCTCCATATTAAAGTATTTTTCCAATGATAAATAAATTGGATGCTTAAAAATTAGGTTAAATATACGATTTCATTCCTAAATTTAACAAGTTCTTTTGTCTTTAATGTTTTTATAAAAATATTTGATTTTATCTTATAAGCTACCAAACTTTTTAATCAAAATTTACCAATAATATCATTGTAATTGGATAAAAAAAAATAGTGGAATATGAACTTTGTACTTGTGATGGAATTAAATTATAATCAAATTTCTTTAGATGGTTTACCAATAAGTACTAAAAAAACATTTTCTTTTAATAAAAAAAACATTTTCTTGGAGTTGGTGTAAGCTCTCAAAGGTCTCTTAAATTAAGTTTATAAACACTCCTCCTACTCAGGTTTATTTACTTGAATTAGAATAAGAAGAAATTCAAATGAAAATGTTCTCATTTTGATTGATGTTATTTACTATAAATATTATGGAATAATTATTATTCATTGATGTTGTTTACCATAAGGATCAAAGAGTAAGATATATAACAATTACTATTATACTCCTTTGTTATTTCTAATTAATTACAAATATTACTATTATACTCTTTTGTTATTTTTAATTAATTACAAATGTATTATTGTGTTAATATTTATTTTAATTAAATCAATAAGAAATTTTATTATTTCATAAATATTAATGGTTTAAAAACTACTTCTTTTTTGGGACGGCGGTTTATGAACTACTTGTCTTTTTAGTAGTTGACTAATGACATCTTAAAATAAGAATATTTTTTTTCAATGCATGCATCATTTTCTTTTTCTTTAAAAAAAAAGAGGTAAACAAAATTGGAGGAGTAAATAATTACATTTTGGAAAAATGAAATAAGAGAATAAAAATATTGAAAGAAATTAATGAAGAATTGGATTTTTGCACTTTGAGATGCTTTTTTCACTTTCTTTCCAATTTAAGATTAAAAATAAAACAGAAAAAAAGGTCCACTACGACATGTCGACAGCGGCAAGGCACCTGATCCGATATTCCTTTTCTTCCGCTTCCTTTACGTTACACCTCGAATCGATGCCCGCGGCCTGCCGCACCTGCCGCGTATGCAAAACATGCAAAGGTAGATTTTACATGTGTATTTATTTCAATGAATTTTGAATTTTAGTGAAAACAATATTTATTATCTTTCTTTTTTTCTTTTTTTGAATGAAATATTTATTATCTTTCCAAGGCTTGAAGATTTGATTTTCTTGATTTCGCCACAGCGAGCATGGACATATATATATATCTTCAATTAAGATGTTGTAAGTTCGATCTTCCACCCTCACATATGGGGCTAAAAAGTAAAGAAAAAAGAATTTAAAGATTTCTTTGTACAGTGAACTATTATTTTATTTTATATATATATATATATATATTTAAAAAATCTGTTTCTACCTAATTTTGTAGGTTGAATCAATTAAATTTCTAAAGTAATAATTGTTTCAATTAAAACTCTGAAGTAACAGTTGTTTCAATTAAAATCCTAATTTTTTTTTTGTAAGTGATTCAATTTATATCCTCTGGTAGGATCTAATTTCAAATTTTATTTCAAAATTTTCATACATATGACTATTTAGTGGCTATTTAGTGGGGGAGATATTAGAATTAATCAAGTGGGTGGTAGTGACTTTTTATCCAGAGAAAAATAGAGAAATAAGAAAAGACAAAAACTGTCCATATTGAGATTTACGTCTTTCAAAAATGAAACTCAGTGTATATTGATTTATTTACGAAAGTTTAGGGTTTTAATTGATTCAACCCCTAAAGTTTGGCAGGTATAAATTGGTTTTTTCCTATTTATTTTAAATATTCATGAATATTTAAGTTATTTTATACGTGTACCTCGACTACTAATTTTACGATAAATAATCATTTGACTCTAATATATTTCTTTTCACTTAATATCTATTTATTTTTTATGACGATTATCGTTGAGTTAATGTTGAAAATACCAATTTCAATTGGATTATGTTCTTCTTAAACATTCTAACATTACCATCTCCATAGTATAATTTTTTAACGGATCAATTATTTATTTATTTTTAAATTTGTACACCGATTGATTTTCAGGAAAATAAAATGAATTTTTGAAATAAAAATAAAAATTGAAATTAAATTGGTATTATTTTTCTATAAAAATTGACCATGCAGACCATATATATATATATATATATAATATATATATATATATATTGGTACTTCAGTTTGTCCGTATCGCATAAATGTTTGGGCGTAGCCCCCAAAATACGCCGAAAGTTGAGGGATATCGTCCGTAGTAAATCTAAATCAATAAAATAATGCTTTAAAAAAATAACAATAACAAAATCAATAAAATAGTGGGCAATTATGATGATAAAATTGTAATAAAATAATAATAAATTGTCATCGCCTCATTTATTTTTTGGTCATTCTATTTTTTTTTAATACAACATGTTGGGGAGGGGATTCGAACTCACAACCACTTGGTTGGAGGTATATGCCAACTACCGCTGAGCTATGCTTGTTTTGGCCCTTCTATTCTCTTTTTGAAACAGAAGGTATATCTTCAAGACGAGATATTCAAATTTATGATCTTTTTAATAATTATTTAGTTAAATTTAGTTAAACTCAGTTATATATTTTATTATTGATTTTTTTTTTGTTTTCCCTCCATATATCAAATGGGACATAATATTTTAAGTTATTATTATTTTGGTAATAATTTTCTTGATTTTTTATTTTATTTATAATATGTTAAAATCGATTAATATGTCCTTGAAAAAACATGTTAAAATTTATTCAAAAAAGTCAATTTATCATTAAGTTATTATTTTGTTGATATGTTTGGATATATAAGCATGTCACTTAGAAAAAATAACAATTTATTGATGGATCGGTGAAATTTTATTAATAGTGAGTTGTATTTACATATTTAATAAAATAATAATCTAATTAGGCATCAATTCTCTGTTGGTAATAACAACTTTTTTTTATGAGATGACTAATTGAGATTTTTTGATTTTAGAATTAAAAAAAAATTGAAGGACTAAATCATAAATTGAATAAAAGATCTTCTTGAACGTTTTTTTTTGTTTTAATTTAAATAGAAAAATAATTTTTTTTATTTTAAAAACACTTATTCCAAAAAACTTCTTATTACCTCCCCCAAGAAATTAAGTGATAATATTCTTGTCACAGGCTACACTTTTAATCTTTAAAATTTGAAAAATAGTTTTGAAAAGTTTAGCTCATTTAATCCTTACTTGACTATTAGAAAATAACAATTACATTTTAATTACTATTATCTAACTTGAGAAAATATATCAATTCAGTATTTATTTTTGTGACTAGATTTCAACTCTCTTTTCCCTCTTTTTTGTCTCTCTTTCTCTTATCTTTCGGCAAACTTCGCTGTTGCCGCAGACGCCCTTCCCACACTTCCCACTATTTGCCATTGCTCTTCGTTTGCTGTCACTCTAAACAACCAGATCTTAATCATTTCTCAATTGTTGTTGTTGTCTCGCGCCAATCACCATATCTTTAGCCATATCGTCTTAAGATCTCGAGAATAAATGATGAACAAACAATTGGAACGACCATTTGTTCCAGTACAAATATAGAATGACGCTCATTCCACATCTAAAATGAGTGCGAAACATTCATCGCTCATCCATGTGAAATGGGGAGCGAACTCATTCCACTAGATATGGTGGAACATTATAGATGTGTTGTATTTTTTTATCGTTCAGGACGACTCAAATGACAACGACGATAGTCAATGGTAAGGCCAGTGGCAATATTTCTCAGAGAAGGGGGAGAAGAAGAAGGAGAAGAGGGGAGACGAGATATGAGGGTATTTTACACTTTATTTTATTTTTAATTTTCAATTAATGTTTATTCTTAAAAAAAATTCAATGAATGTTTTTTTAGTTCAATTGTAGCGTAGGAGATCGAACCGAGAAAAAAATTTGACTTCTTAAAAGTTAAAGAGTAAGTTTTTTTAGTATAACATGTGTGGATATGGATTCGAACTCACAATATTTTAATTGGAGATATATGTGAATTACCGTTGTCATTTTGACAAGTTAAGGAAGATTTATCTGATGGTGTTTCGTATGGCGTCAACTTACTCAAATTTCCAATAATTTGAAAAAAGTTTGACCTATGCCATATTTTATATGGTCATAAAAAAACAATGGATAAAGGATCGAATTTCCTTTATAATTTTCATTTTTCTAAGGATTATTTTTTGTCTTGTTTTTCAAAATTTTCTTATTTGGCTGCAGTTTAATATTGTTAATTAATGGCATCCTCTTAGGCACATACTCAGCACCCACTTGACCATATTTTAACTTATTTAAATTAATTATTAAGATAAGAATTTAAGACATGAATCAATTCTATTGGAATGGTTTTTTTTTTGTTT